ATAAGCGCAGTAAAGAAAAATATTACATAATTGCTATAGTTTCATCATTCATTAAAAACTGACACCAATCACTTATCGTTTTAGAAATATAATATCAAGTATATGAACACCTTCACAGTTTTTAATAAGGATTTTGGTAAACTAATAATCATACTGGTAGAAATTATTTGTACTATTGTACATTTCAAACGGTAGACTTGTTTAGAACCATTATAAATAAAATTATATAATCAACACAATAATGAAATTTGTAAAGTTATAACAATGGTTATTTATAGAATCGAACGAATGTATTAAAATATGTCCACATTTAATGATTTCCAGGAAATTGTGCAGTTTGTAAAATAAAATATTTATATAATGTGATGATTGAACATTAAGTTAGTTAAATTTAGAAATTCAAAATTCCACATTAATCACAACAATTTTAATTTTATGTATATTTTACTGAATTATTAAAAATGAATTATTTAAACCATATTCTTAAAGGAACGTTTCAACAATTAATTGTTAAATATTATTTGTTGAACTTCGTCGCATAACTAGCTTTATTTCTAACCAATAGTAATACATAAAAATAAATGTTTTTAGAAAAATAACAACTTTTTTTATCGAAAAATCTAATAATTTAAAATGGATTTATTAGACTGAAGATGAAAAAAAATAGATTTTAGTTTTTGGAGATATATTAACCAAGCAGTCGATTTTGTCATAAAAGTGCACAATTTCGTATTACATCTGTGAAATTAAATCGAAATAGGATTTAGGGCGTTTTGCCTCATATTTATCGAAATATGTAACACAAACAATAATTGTTAAGCACTTTCATAACGGAACAATGTTCTAGTCACACCCTTTTTTTGGTCTTTTGGGGAAATTCCCTGTTGATGACTAGGGTCTTGTAGAAACACAGTAATCGTGCAACGTAAATGTTTTTATATCATCTACTTCATTTGAATTATCTAATTTTTACAACACAATGTAACCGAGTTTGACTCGTATATTGCCATCACTATGTTATTGTTAAATATAACTTATAGGAACGAGGGTGCGGTTAAAGGACAAATCAAATTATTCAGCATAAGGGGAACTATTAATGCGTTTAAATATTATTTTGTTTACTGAAGACCTACCGACTTAACATAAATATATAAACAGAAAGTCTTATCTACTACAAATTATACTACAAAATTTTAAATAAAATTGGAGTATTGTGATACTACTTGTATCATAGATGCATCTGAGTAAGCTCATCCCCTTTCCCCGATTTAGAAAACTGTATATATATTTTTAAATAATATATACTTAGGGCGAAAAAATTAATTTACTTCCCACAAAAATTTTATTCTAGTTCTGCACTTATTAGTAATCATTTAATTTAAAAAAGGTGTTATAGAAAAAGGTTTATAATTTTACATTATAATATCTTTTATACAAAATTACCATTTTTCACGTTTAACTGAAATTTCTCAATAAATTAATTGGCATAATTTTTATGCTACATGTTAAAAAATATTTTTATTCTCACATTCACAAATAACTTTTATCGTTTTAGATCAAATTAATAGCATGACAATTATTTAATTACGTGTTATGAAATAATGATTGTTGTTCAATAATATAACTATTAAAATTAAAATTATGTGTTATTCGAATAATTTTAATTGTGTACTATCAGAAAAAATACAAACATATTGTGCTATCATAATTACTTTTTTATTTACACTTATAAATAAACACTTATGAAATAATACATCATGTATAGTACTTTTAAATGTTAATATTAATGAAGTATAAGAGGTAGTATTTTTAAAATCATTCTAAGATAAGAATAAACTGACGACGTAACTATATTAAAATTATCATTTACAAGTCATAGAGCTAAAAAATAGATAATGGTTTGGTCATTTTATTTCCACCAATTAACTTAATGATATGAAGAAAAAGTAACGTACCACTGCCAAACAATTTAAAAGTATAGAAATTTATATAGTAAGAGTAATACATTTATTATAACCATTTGTCAAATACTCATAAAATAAAAATAATTTCGGAAATATTTTTTTGTCTCTTTTTTAGTTACATATCTTTGTTGACTAATCAATTATTAAATAACTTTTCGATTCAACTTTATATATTATAACAGCATCAACTTTTATTTTTGTAAATGGTAACATACATTTTTAACTAGCTCATAGTGTAGAAAATAGTATTTTAGTAAATTATTTTATTAAGTGACACTAAAAATATTCTTGCTCTCTTTTATACTTATTTTTTAATTTGTAATATATATTTTTTCATGAACGGTCAAATGTCTTTTATTTTATTTGTCATTGCATGGCACATAATTCTTCAATTTTCAAACCATTGCTAAAATTTAAGTTCATAATAACGTACACTAAATTATATTATGTCCTTTGGAATATATTATTGTAGTCACCAGTCATGAATACAAATGATTGCGCCCTTTACGTTTTAGTCCTATAGGTCATTATACTTTTTCAATTTATTTTGAGAACTTTTTACTTTGTCTGAATTGATTGCCATCTACGACAAGTTCTCTGAATTATTATTATAAATGTATATATAGTTTATACCGCAAAAAAATCTTTTATTAAGAATAACAAGGACAAGTCCTTATTATTTTTGTTTTTTTAACATGAACATAATCTACTAATTGTAAAAAAGTTATTTCATCAGCCATACTTTAAGAAAACGATCAATTTTAAGTTATTTCGATATATTAAAATTACTGTAAGATATTAACTTAAGTTAATTTATTAATCATTTAATTTTAAATATGAATTATGATTTTAATTAATAAATTTCCTTGATATGAATTACAAAGATTTCATTTCAAAAGAAGTAGAGAGTTTAATTTTTTAACTAAATGTAGACCATAAATTTCTCATAAAATATTTATACAACTCTGTTTAAATAAACAAGTATAAGTTCTCATGAAAAATTATGTATACAGCGCTTCTTAGTATTTCTGAAATTCAAGATTTTGTACTTATGTACACTTGGAGTGATAATCGGCAAATAGCTCCTGTAATTTTAGAATAATGGAACGAAATTTATTTACATTTAGAAATTTTAATTATGATTTGATTGATTTCGAGTACAATTACCAAAGTAACTGTTTTCCAAGTGAAAGGTAAGACGAAAATGCTGATGTTCTTTTGGCAGCAGCAGACGTTTATGTATCCTTGGAAACCGACTGGCGCCAGTGGCGTCGAGACGCGTCAATTACGACGCCACAGTTTGTCCCTTCAGTGTACATAAATGTACTGATAGAACTTTTATATCGAATAAAGTCCGTCCCGGTCGCGTATTATTCATCGTGCTTCCCCACTCGCTGACTACATCCCTCCGATCAGATGGTATAGCCCAACACAATAAACACATACAATGACTAATACAGTACTGAACTGTACCCTTATTTTTATGTATCTATAACGATTACGTGTTCTGCGGATATTGCAATCATATTCAAGTAAATCTTCAATTTAGGTGTCTAGCATTTTTCAGAGAACAGTTCCTATTATCTCATTGACGCTTTTGTCAACGGATAAAATGCTTATGATGTTGTTGATACAATACCTATCTGTGAAAAAATACATAAACTAAGGGTTGATTGCGGGTGAAAGCTATTTCACATTTAGACCAAATACACAAATAAATGCTAAGGGGATTATGTATAATAAATTGACCAATATCTAGTAAATATCTGGACAGCAGCAACCCCCTATGGAGTCTAATTAATGTTTGGCATATGGTCACTCTATTGTTCAATATACCAAAAGAATATCATTGTCTATATCCAACTGTTCCCTTGTAAATTGATTCAGAAGACTATTTATATTAATAACGGTCAATTGTAATATTTAAATTTCAAAAATCGATTAGTCAAATTTATTTTCTTTGATTATTCATTTATTCAAACCTAGGTACTTTAAAACACATACATTTATTTGTAAATAACTCTAACACAAAATAACTGTAAATCTAAATTTAATCTTAAATATTATGTGTGTCTATTTTGAAAAGTTACCATAGTAACGTCATTTTCTAAATATCTTTATTATCATAAAGATAACTAATAATACATAAGCGTAAGTTTTATTTAACTTTAACGTTGCAACTATCTAATTAATGTATACATAATCATTTGCGGTCGTTTTAAAAATTGTTGCTGGAAAATTGAACAGCGGTTTTGTGCTGATGAAAAAAATTATCTGTATGTTTAATTATGTTTATTAACGAATTTTATACTTCAAAAATTACCCACCAATTTACCAAAGTATCATGACGCATTTAAATGCAAATTATTCGTAAATTTGGTTATGTAATAATTAATGTTAAAATCGCCACCCTACCAATACACAAAATCTAATTAAACCGAATAAATATCTACAAATTACAAACCATAATTTAATTTTTAATTAGTTGCATTATATTAAATAATTTATGCTCAGCTTTGCTAGTATCATTCAAAAGCGAGTTTAATTTTGGCTTTACATAAATTTATTTTTAGTTAATAATATTTTTTTATTAAAAATACTTAAACTAGTTGCTCAAAAAATTAATATTATCATCCAACAAGATTATTAAAGTAATTTGACCGTATGCGCTATCTACGAACAAACATTTCAACTTTTATTTTGAGGTAATGTGTTAACAGATTGTGTTTATATCAGTTTTAAAATGATAATAAGAAAGGTTTGGATTTATTGTGGAATTTACTTTCGTGAATAGGTCGCATTTAGAAATTGTGTTGCTCTAATATCCTTTTTATTTTGCTCATCAAAATATTTGTCTTTATTTGTTTTTTATATTAATGATAAAAAATTAATAATATGTTCTAATCTAATTTCTGTATCGGTTAAATTTGGATCGAAATTTAAAACATTTTTTTTTTAAATAGATTCTCATAATATTGCTAATGTTATTTCAGCATAATTTAATTTAAAATTTTATTGAACTCATGGTAACATCATTCTATAGTAACAAACATTTTATATTGATTATCGCATTCAGAAAAATAAGTTCTAAAAATATCCATAGCTACATGGGTTATTTTATTATTAAGAAATAACAGTCGAAACAGTTTATTTTATTGGACCACATATTATATGAACAATTTTTCAGTTATTTTGATTCAGTCACTGATTAAACCATTGGAGGGGTCCGATCTAAGTGTTTGGTGGCTTATTGACGATGCACACGGTTAGATCAACGATGATCTCTTGTAAAATTGTTATTTCTTTTTTTTTTCTGTATTCATTTTGAGCGTCGTCGGTAAGTACAATTTTAAATAACCATTCATTAGTTATTTCTTTTTAAATTAATTGTGTTTTTTGAAATTGAAAACTTTAAAATCATATTAATAATTTTGGTTTATATCTTCCAGTAACAAAACATGGTTTTAAGTATTTTTCATATTTTATTTAATTTTAGATGATAAATGTTAATGGTTTTGGTATAGTTATTTCCCCAGTAACAATTTTATATATTAAATATATTATATTTAATTAAATTTCAATAATATAATCGACAGTCGGAATGTTGAGGCAGGAGAGCACTATGAATAACATGACTTTTTAAAATTAATTTTATATTCTATGTAAAAATGAACAAGAATTTGTATCTAAAGCAATTACTTAGTAATATATTTTTAGGTCGATTCTAATTTAAAATTTTTTATTCTGTTGGCTATGTGTTCACTATATTTGAAATTTATGTATAAATTTTTATTTTTTGAGTTAAAAGGTTATTGTAATTATTTTACTTGGATTTTTAATTACTTTATGTTTAAAATGTAAGAGTATATATCTTTATTTCTATTTTATTCTGCTCAATCTATTTCTTGCTGCTTAATGATTTCAATGATTTTTTAATATTATTGGTTATTAATTCTAATCTATATAGAGTGATGTTTTTAAAATATGTTTTGAATCTATGGAAATATTAGAGTTAAAAATATACTTTTTACTGTTTTGAGTTGGTTTTTTTTAGAAATTTATATTATTGATTATAATGGGGTGTAGAATATATTTTTTTTTTTGCATTTCTAATTTAAATGTTTTGTTTATAACTATTAATGCTATAAAATTGCTGTTCTACTTCAAACCTGTCTTTATGTAACCATAAATATGAAAATATTGTATACTAATTTATAAATAACAATTGTATATGGCTAAAAAGTTAAAATTAAAAAATTCAATATTTTATTTTAGTGTTTAAATTAAACATTTAAATTTGATGTTCTATTTAACTTATAAAAAAAGCTAACACTTTATTAGAATTTTACACCAATAACTAAAAATAATCTAACTTTTTTATATTTTTCAGTATTGAAGTAGTTTTCAAATTAATTAAAATTAATATATTTTGAATTTTGTTGTTAAATTGTGTTTATTGGATTAATAAATAGGATGCATCTAATAAATAATTAAAAATGAAAGAATTAATTATATATATATATATATATATATATATATATTTAAATAACTTGGAGCTATCAATAATTTAAATCCAACATGGATATCATATAACATTTTTAAGGCTCTGAATTTTTTATTTTCTTTATGCAAAGCATCCAAAAAGGGATTGTAATAAATTTTTTTTTATCCAGTACAGGTCTGGTATATTTAAAGTAAACTCTAGTTTTATTTTACTAGCTAATCATTCAGTTTGGTATATACACAACATAGATTTTACATTTATTCATTCATAGAGCTAATAATAATTCAATAATGAATTGTGTAATGTACTGTATAATAGTATTGCATTAGCATTTCATTATATAGAAATACATCATGCTTGAATAATACTTCTAAAAGATCTAATGCTTGATTGATAAGCCAATGAAAAAAAACAAAGATAAATCTTGCCATACATGACCAGTTTGAGCAGAAAGCCAAGCCGTCAGTATGGGGATAATAATTTGAATAAATATAATATGCCTAAGACAGCTGCAATAAAATAATAGCGGCCTACCTAGCTATGTTGGTAATGCATTGTGTCTTTGTTCGTAGATACTAGAGTTCGACTCCATTGCACTAGACTATGTAGGTTTTCTCCTCCTCTCTGGCACAATAAATAGCTTTTATAGAGGACATTTAACATGATGAATGACTAATAAATGAATGCCTTCTATTATCAGATTTATGTATTAAAATTAAAGTAAAATTATATATGTAAGTGTTACACTAAACTGAATTTTTATTAGTTCATTGTAAAGATTTTTTAAATTAATGTAATAGTAATAATTTGGATGTATGTGCTTGTAATATAGTAAAGAAGACAAGTTAATTTTTTTTAAATTTTGTACTTAACATAATCCTTAATAATTTAAACACATAATTGGTTTAAACTGCGAACAACTTTTAGTTCACTAATATAATAATTTTTTTCAATTAAATTTAAATTATCTGGCTAAATATACATATTTTATTTTTGAACAGGTGTTTTTAAGACCATCAAAAGTATTGTCAAAAATGAGCTTTTTATGGTATTAATTATAATAGTGGAATTGTTGTGGTGTGTTTTATATATGTTGTAATTAAAAAAGGAAAAATGTATCTTAAAGTATTTTATTTTATGCAGTTAAACATCCTCTCCTTATGTCAGTCATTTTTTAATTATTTATGTTTGTATTAAATTTGTTGTTTAATATACAGTGTGGTCCATGATGTTTTGACAAAATCAATAACTTGATCCAATCAATATTTTTCATTGATTTATTTTTAAAGTAATTTTTACAGCTAAAAACTAATAGTTGTTCAATTTATTAAAAAAAAATGTAAAACTAACGAAAAATGCAAAACGAAATTCAAGATAATCATTTTGTAGACTAAATTTTAAGGAAAAATTTGATTTAAAAAAATATACCTTATTAATATTAAGTAATTAATTTCCTATAACATTTTAAAGTTAGTGAAAATTTGAATTTTTGTATTTTTTTAAGATATCAAATATTGAAATATATATTAAAAAATGACAGAAGGAACTTTTTCAAAACACCGTGGACTTATTTATTAGGGCGAATAAAAAAAACGTTGTTTTTTGAAATTTTAATGTGAACCATTTAACTTTATTATATACATTAAAAAAAATATTTTGTGAAGATTTGAGATTTAAAAAAAAAAATTTTTGGTTGCTTACCGTGTTACTAATATTTTGACCAAAAATATGCCAAAAAATAATAGCAGTCTCTGTTATTTAATTTTTGGTCAAATATCAAGATTAGTATATCAAAACAGTTTGATTTTTACTGTAGAGTGCATATTTCTCAGTTTCAAAATTTTAAGTTGAAAATTGATAGCGTGGATATCATAATTAGAGTCATTATATGGCATATTTCTAATAAGCTTAAAATTTAAAAAAAATTTATTTTATTCAAATTGGCTGATATTTATGTATATTATAAGTGCAATAAAATTATTCACTAATCTTAAATTCTTATGCATTTTTTAAAAAATAAAGCTTAAGCAAAAATATATGGTATTCTAGAAAATATTTTTAAATGCCGGTTGATCATGAATTCTATTTAATTTTTTTTTTCAAACAATTCATTTATATGGATTAATTTTATTTATTTATACTTAAATAATTATATAATTATTTAAGTATTCTCAGTTAAAGTTCTACAAAATTATTATCTTTATGTCATATTATACATATTATAATCTTTTATTTATGTGTGGTTATGCTAGACCCCCACGCGACTGTTAAAGGGTTATTTTCAGAAAGACGCCCAAACGGCCCGCGTACCTCATAGTTACGCGGGTTGCCTTGGATGAGGCGGCCTCTACTCTGTGGAAAGCCAGTGGAAAAGGTGGTAGGCGAGGCGGCTACTCATCATTAAATAGCCTAGACTCGGAAGAGCAGGAAATGAGGAACAAGCAAAGGGAATGTGGTCTGGGCCTTAGAGACCCACATCTGGGAGACGAGGAGCCTCCCGTGTTAGGGGGAGACGGCGATGTTCACCCGACGCCAACCTGCCCGAACACCCTAGTCGTCCTATTGAACGTGTGCCAATTTAGCAAAGTCTCTTGTCCACCCAAGAGGTTACGGCTTAGCCCAAGAGTTTTGAGGCTCTCAAGTGAGCTAGGTAGCCAGCCATGTAATGGTCGCGGCAACTGTGTGTACTGCAGTCGATTGATGTCTCACCATCATTTCGGACTTAAAATTTTGGCGGCTTTCGTACTTTCTCATCGTGCTAGTCTTTGGCGTTAGTGGCCGAAACAACTTGCACATCCAGGATAACGGATCTCGTACCTCTTGTCTCATCGTCAATAGTTGCGACGAAGTCTGGTTTGAGATTTCCATCCCTTAGTGCGTAGAGGTGCTCACGCTCTACTCGAAACTCTTTCTCGGTATGCGCTTCACGATATGATCGTGTCGGAGAACTCTACCCCCATGAGTCCTAGGGCACATTTGTACGATGTGCGCAAGAGTTTTAGAAGGCGCAGCACAGCCATGGCATGACACCGGTATGTTGCGCCCTCTTCCATCTCGCTTGCGGCTGGGCAGGGCATTAATCCTGATCTTGGCGTACTGCTTAAAGTCACGACTAGTAATACCATCCGGCCTGCGCATGTACGCTGTCGATTCCCAGCTACCAGGACATAGCTTCAGATTAACTTCATCCACCGAACTATGGAGTAATTCCTAATGACTAGTGATCGCTGCGACCCTATCCACACGGCGCCTTAGGGTTGCTACCACACTCGCCCCAAAGAGACGAAATGCTTCACGCACCGCGGGATCCTGCGAATATTCGAGCTTAGTCAACCTAGTGAGCCGACTTTTAGGGATGAATTTTTCAAAGTCAACAACCCCTAGGCCCCTAGATGACGTGGGGCGTAGATGTACGAGTTGGGGCACGAAGTCGGGAGATCAAGCCATTTCCTAACCGCGCGTTTAGTCTCGTGACTTAATTGTCTTAGCTTGCAATTGGGGAGCTTTGTGAAAGTTAGCCCGTGGACAAACTTTGGGATCACAAAGTCTCATTTGCGGCGTCATAGGGGCGGCCGAGACCGCATCCTGAGCGCTGACAAGAGACGCGCACTTAAATCCAGATAGGTAATTTCCCTGAAACTCTATGCCGATACCTCCAGAACTCGCCCACTTGGGTCACCGCCAATGACGAACCTCCAAGGGAATAAGAAGTGGTGTCCACCTTCAGTTTGCGATCTCGCCCCGGAGGAACCAGGGTAAGAGTAGTAAATTTCGTCGGGTTAAGCCTCAAACTGGCTAATGCTAATCGTGCGGTGAACTTTTCGCATGATATCTGCACCCCCATGCCGTCTCCTACACCAGAATGACATCGTCTGCGAACGCTAGAGCATACACACGCTCGTTGCCCAGCATATAGCCAACCGCTCCTAGGATTGCTCGTAGACCGAAGTCTATCACCAGGTTAAACAAAAGCGGCGATAGACGATCGCCTTGCATAACGCCATTCGTTGCCCTCAAGGAATTCTTACCGACTTGAATGAAAGTCTTACTCTATTTATACACGCGGTCGATGTAATCGACAAAGCGAGAGTCAAGCTGAACGTCACGCATAGCCCCAGAGATCGAACCGTGGGATTCTGAATCGAACGCCTTGGATAAATCCAAAGACGCAAGACACAGTTCCCGGCAAGACGAACGGGAACTCGTCAGTAACGAATCGAGGAGGAAGAGATTTTCCGCCACTCCGTCCGCACATCTGAACGCCCGCTGCCTGTCATCGATTACAGACAGACCTTCAAACATTCTGGCCAGAATCCTATGGAAATACCGCTGTGCTATCGACGCGATCGAAATCGGCCTATAGTTTCCTGGGTATCCGGTATCCCCCTTTTTGGGAACGAAAATCGTACGGGAATGGACAAATATTTTCGGAAGATTTCCCGTGGCGATAAACAAGTTGAATAAGCCAGTAATTAGAGGTATGGGTAATGATCTCCATAGTCGAGCCTTGAACCCATCTGGGCCCGGACTTGTATTTGCCGAGGGGTGAGATTCTACGACATCCCCCGGTGAACCAGGGTCAAACATACTGCGAATTCTAGTCTCTCTGTTCTCATTGAGTGCATCAGAGAAGGGGACTGGAGCGCTTTCGATAATAGGCACTCAGTATTGGACCATCTCGTCGAACGGAGCCATTGCTGCTCCCGAATCGATTCCCGTAAGTATTTCTTATCGGAGGCTCAATGTTATTTGAATTCATGCTGCTTAAAAGGGGCCCCAAGGAACCCCCGCGTCATTACTAGCTATGAGGTAGCCCCACTTCGCACGTCTGACGTCGGACTTGGTTAGGGATATATGAATTATTTATTTTCAAAACTTAATTTTACAGTCGGTGGTAGATCCACATAATTCCAATTCCACAATATTATATCGATTATAACATTGCATTTACAATAAAACGATATTTTGAAAAAAAGTCCCAAAAAAATTAATTAATTATAACGTTACAAGTCGCGTGGGTTAAATATGACCCATTTAAATTTTGATGAATATTTTAAGTCATACATTTTTTTTTCAAAGGTATTTATTTATGAAAATCCATTCAATATTACTCTAAAAATCATCTTCTAAATTTATATCTATGTACACCTTTTATGCAATATAATGCATCCGTTTTTATTTATGTGGGGGTATGATAGACATACACGCGACTGTTTAAGGGTTAAATTAAACATTACAATTATGATTGGGTTTTTGATCAGTCAAAATCTTTTACAGTCAAATGAATTAACTATCTTATCAAATAACTAAAAATATATACTTGCATTAATAATGTTAGGTTTTTTTTATAACTTAAATGTTGGATATTGGATTTATAAGTTTTAGCCACATAACTATAAACAATATAAAATAATTCTTGATTTAAATAAATTTGTTTGTTCCTTCATTTATAATTAATGATAGCTAGATGTTTAAAAGCAGTTTTGGTCATTTTTAAATATATATGGTTTTTTTAATCAACATTAAAAAATATTTTAACTTATGATTATTATCATACGGTTCAAATCATATGGCACCAAATTTAAGGTACAATTAGCTAGTTAAAGAAAACAAAAAACAGTTGGCAAACACCTATGTATAGATGTTTGTTATGTATGATGAATAATTTCAAAATGATAATTAAGAAATTTTATAAAGTAACAAGTACCAAATAGATTTCTCTGAACATTAATATAAATATAAATTAAAAATATACAAAGATTTTCCAAACAGCTTTTTAATATTTAAATCAAAATTCGTTTTAATAATTATTAGATTTATAGTTTTTAATACGTGTATATAAATTCAATATTTAAGAAACTTGTAAAAGTTCTATTTAATCCACACTATGTATGAAGTACCGTCAATGTTAATATTTTTTCTTATTTTATTAAATAAAAAAAACCCAGCACAGTGGGGTCGTGGCATAGTTGGGTCCAGTATAGATGATATCTAACAGTGATTAAAATCACTATCATAAAAAACTCTTCGATGCAAATCTGTAGATAGTGTTTAATTAAAAAAAAAAAATTTGTTAAAATAGCATATTTTTGAATAGGGTAGCCATTTGCGCATAGAAGATAGGTCGTCGGGACAATTTTTTTTTTTTATTTTATAGTACATAAAATAAGCTTTAATTTGATATATGTTTAAAGGACGCAGTATTCCCGGAATATTTTCAAAAATTAAGTTGAAAAAATTATTTTTTGTAAAAAAGTTACTATTTTAAATCCCCCCAGTGAGCAGATTAAGTGTTAGATTTTCAAAAAAAATTATATCAAATGAAAGGGAAATATCTAAGGTTTCAATACAAAAAAATATTATTTTTATTTGTTCATTTTTGAAAAAGTTATGGCAGTTTTAAGTACAAAAAACATCCCGACAAAAGATGATTTTTATTGCAAAACATTACATTTTTTTTTAATTTTCGACAGCCATTTGCACAATGAAGATAAGATGTCTGGACAAATTTTTTTTTTCATTTGATAGTATATAACACAACCTTTGATATATGTTTAAAGGACGCAGTATTCCCGGAACATTTTCAAAAGTTCAGTTGAAAAAGATCTATGTTTTTTACAATA